CTTTCTTTACCTGTGTAAAGCCATCTGGCCTTTGAGATTTTTGTGGGAAAGACTTTTCTTTCATTACTATCTTGCTATTTGTTTTCTGTTTGTCACATCTCCTCCTCATACCTTTTCCTCCCTTTCCCTGCCTCCTTTAGGATTGAGTCAGTTTTGGTAATCTATCTACTGTATTCATAGAATGTTATATACCACTAAGATTTTAAAAATCTTTAGCAAAAAAGCTATATAGTAGGCTTTACTTTTATATTCGATTTCTCTTTCAGGTAGCTTTCTTATTCCTTTCATTATATATTTTGAGTTTTGTTTCCTTTAGATTGGTTAGACTTACCAGAGGCTTATCCTTTTCCGGATTTATCAAAGGACAATTTCTTACATTTATTTTTTTAATCCTGTTAATTTATGACTTTTTAAAATTAAGTCCTCTGTGTTTTGAAAAGTAGTGTATGTGGTAGTTAACAGCATGAACTCTGTGGTCAGACTGTCTGGGTTTCAATCCTGGCTCTACCACCTACTGTGGTAAGGATTCCGTTAACGCCTCTGTTTCTTTTTTTTTTTTTTGAGACGGAGTTTCGGTCTTGTTACCCAGGCTGGAGTGCAATGGCACCATCTCGGCTCACCGCAACCTCCGCCTCCTGGGTTCAGGCAATTCTCCTGCCTCAGCCTCCTGAGTAGCTCGGATTACAGGCACGCGCCACCACGCCCAGCTAATTTTTTTGTATTTTTAGTAGAGACGGGGTTTCACCATGTTGACCGGGATGGTCTCGATCTCTTGACCTCGTGATCCACCCGCCTCGGCCTCAAAACGGAAATAACAATACCTACGTTGAAAGGTTGTGAGGTTTACATTAGTAAATGTAAAATGATTAAAGCAGTATCCAGGAAGTACTTTGCAGTATTAGCTATTTTCTTTTTTATTAGTCTGTTGTTCTCTAATTTCTTAAGCTGAATTCTCAGTTCAGTCATTGTTGGCTTTTATTGTTTAATCACAGATATGTAAAGCTTTAATAAACTTTTCCCTGTGTACAATGCCTTAAGGTTTCACATTCATTTTCTCATTGTTTTTACTTTGTAATTTGATTGTTGTTTTGATCAAAGAATTAAAAGAGCATAAAAATTCTAATGTGATTAGATAATCTATCAAAGACCATAAAAGGTATGTTAGAATTTCCTCCTATAATAATTGGTTTTTTTTTTTTTTGAGATGGAGTTTTGCTCTTGTCACCTGGGCTGGAGTGCAGTGGCACGATCCTGGCTCACTATAACCTCTGCCTCCTGGGTTCAAGTGATTCTCCTGCCTCAGCCTCCCATATAGCTCAGATTATAAGTGCCTGCCACCACGCCCGGCTAACATTTTGTATTTTTAGTACAGACAGGGTTTCACCATGTTGGCCAGGCTGGTCTTGAACTCTTGATCTCAGGTGGTCTACCTGTCTTGGCCTCCCAAAGTGCTGGGATTACTGGCGTGAGCCACCATGCCCAGACATTTTAATCATTTTGAAGTATATAGTTCTGTGACATTAAGTGCATTTACATCATTGTGTGGTCATCGCTACTATCCACGTCTAGAACATTTTCAACTTCCGCATCTAAAACTCTGTACCCAATAAACACTAACTCCCCATTCCCTCATCCTCCAGCCTCTGGCAACTACGATTCTACTTTCTGTCTCTGTGAATTTGACTACTCTAGGTACCTCATATAAATGAAATCACACAGTATTTGTCCTCTTGAGACTAGCTTACTTTACTCAATGTCTTCAAGGATCAACCATGTTGTAGCATGCATCAGAAGTCTCCTCCTTTTGAAGGCTGAATAATATTTCATTGTATGGGATTCCACTGTACAGTGAAACCACATTTGTTCATCTGCTCATCGGCTAAAGGACACTGGGGTTGCTTCCAACTTTAGGCTACTGTGAATAATGCTGCTATGTACATGGGTGTATAAGTATCTGTTCAGGTTGCTGCTTTCATTTCTATATACCCAGAAGTGGAACTGCTGGGTCACATGGTGATTCATGTTTAATTATTTGAGGAATCACCTTATGTTACAGCTTATTTTGGGAACTCAATTTTGTACCACCTTTTGACCACCCAAGAAGGGTTTATGAAGAGTTTATGTTTGAAGCACTTGCTTATTTTACACATTTTCTTTTTCTTTCTTTGCTTTCTTTCTTTTTTTTTTTTCTTTTTGAGACGGAGTTTTGTGCTTATTGCCCAGGCTGGAGCGCAGTGGCATGATCTTGGCTCACTGCAACCTCTGTCTCCTGGGTTCTGGTGATTCTCCTGCCTCAACCACCCGAGTACTGGGATTATAGGCATGCATCACCAAACCCAGCTAATGTTTTGTACTTTTTTTTTTTTTTTTTAGTAGAGATGGGCTTTTATCATGTTGGCCAGGCTGGTCTCAAACTCCTGAACTCAGGCAATCCACCCACCTCGGCCTCCCAAAGTGCTGGGATTATAGGCATGAGCCATTGCGCCCGGCCGCACTTTCGTATTTTCTGTTGCTGTTGCAAATAAAGATGATCCCCACTAAAATTCCCAGAAGACTACTCTTTTTCCTGAGAACTTTGCGTACATTGCTTACTGTCTTCTGACATTTAGTAAAGAGATGAAAATATTGAGCCCTTTCTGATATGTTCCTTTTTAGTAGCTTTTTTTTTTTTCCTGTTCATCGCTGCTTTGGGAAGTTTTAAGAGTTTATAGAAAAAAATAAAAGGAAAAAAATTGCCATATGTGGGTCTGTGCTGAAATAGGGCAGGTCTCTTTAATCACAGAAATGATTTTTCTCACCTGAGGAAAATTCCATCCGATTTTCTGTTGCTATGCAACACATTCAATATTGCTTATTTGCATTTTTCTAGTTTCTCCTTTAGGAGCACCAATTAATTTTATCTTCTGTCTCCATTCTCTTTTCCTCCTATAGAGTCTTTCTCATACCTTTCTTTTTCATCTATACCAGGGATGGGCAAACACTAGTCCGTGGCCTGGCCTGTTTCTCTATGCCTGTGAGCTCAGAATGACTTTTACATTTTCAGAGGGTTATAAAAATGAACAAGAATACGTGACAAAAGATGCATGACCTGTAAAGCCTAAAATACTTCTTGTCTGCTCCTTTACAGAAAAAGTTTGTTGACCTCCGGTCTTCACCCCTGGAAAGCTTCTCGGGTTCATTCTCTCCATCTGTAATTCCACTTTTTCTTACTGTGTGATTTCTGTTCTTTACCACTGTCTTCAGTGAACCTTTCGATTTCAATTACATTTGTAGGTTCTTGGCAATCTTCCTTGTGCCATCTTCTTTTCAGCCACGTAGTGGTCGTCTCATCTCAGCCTCTCTGCTTTCTGTGGCTTGTGCCTGTCCTTCACTATTTTCTCCTGAGGCTCCAGGATGTTCTCCTGGTGTTTGTGTATCCCCCCTCTTTATGCACACTGGCACATGGCAGAACTTGGCCAGACTCAGTCTTTTTTTTTTTTTTTTGAGACGGAGTCTCGGTCTGTTGCCCAGGCTGATGTGCAGTGGAGTGATCTCGGTTCACTGCAACCTCTGCCTCCTGGGTTCAAGTGATTCCCCTGCCTCAGCCTCCCAAGTAGCTGGGATTACAGGCAAGCACCACTGTGCCCAGCTAATTTTTTATATCTTAGCAGAGATGAGGTTTCACCATATTGGCCATGATAATCTCATCTCCTGACCTCATGATCCACCTGCCTTGGCCTCCCAAAGTGCTGGGATTACAGGCGTCAGCCACATGCCCAGCCCAGACTCAGTGCTTAATGACTGTCATTGGTTCCCTCTCTACTTAGACGACGGTCAAGGACCTGCTCCCGATGTATCACTTCTGGGCACGTTTAGGGACGCAGCTTCTAACAATCCGATCCCCAGCTTTGGGCTGACTTTCCCTTAGTGCCAGGTGTTAGCAAACTACTGGTCGTGGCCTATGTGCCCTGCTAGGTTAAGAGTGGTTTTCACATTTTTTAAAAGAATAAAAATAAATAAATAAATAAAAAATTAAGAATAGCCAGGCACGGTGGCTCAAGCCTGTAATCCCAGCACTTTGGGAGGCTGAGGCGGGTGGATCACGAGGTCGAGAGATCGAGACCATCCTGGTCAACATGGTGAAACCCTGTCTCTACTAAAAATACAAAAAAAATTAGCTGGGCATGGTGGTGCGTGCCTGTAGTCCCAGCTACTCAGGAGGCTGAGGCAGGAGAATTGCTTGAACCCAGGAGGCGGAGGTTGCGGTGAGCCGAGATCGTGCTATTGCACTCCAGCCTGGGTAACAAGAGCGACACTCTGTCTCAAAAAAAAAAAAAAAAAAAAAAAAAATTAAGAATAATATGTGACAGAGACCCACAAAGGCTGAAATAGTTCCTAGATGATCTTTTACACAAACAGCGGCCAACTGCTGCTTTAGACTATCTCTACACTGGGAGCATCTCCTCTTCCCTCCTGCTTGGTTCTCTCAACTGATGGCATGCATCCCACATCTGCAATCCCTGCAGGCACGACCACCAGCATGCTTCCTATCTCAGGTCTTACCTACAGGGTTTTACTCACTGGGCCTGTAACTCAGAAGGAACCAACTAACCCCTGATTCTCGGCAATGTGTTTTTGCATAATGCTGTTTCTGTTCAGAGACAGAAAAATGCATGGAGGGGTTGTGGATGTCGGGGTGGAGGGAGTGGTGCTACTGGAGAACAGGAGGCAAGCTGCCAGGAAAGGGGATTGGTACCTACCACCAAGAGGGATAACTCTCATTGTCAGGTGACTGTCAACCCTAGGCATCTTTGTTAAGGGTGAGTAGCAGGGGGTGCAGCAGGTCTTCTTACTCTTACTCTTTTCTTCCTTTGTTTTTTTTTTTTTTTTTTTTGGTCAAAAGAATTCCAATGCAAAAAAAAAGAAGTTGTAAAATCACTAAGCGAAGGTTTAAAGATAACAGCCCAGCATGATGATCTAGTTATATGTTAAATTAAAAAAAACGCGATCATTCATGTTACCTGTAATCATGTACTGTTTTTCTTGCACTCTCTAGTTGTTCGTTTGTTAACAGAATGTTCCTGGGGTCAGTTACGGTGAAGAAATGGTTGGCTCGTCCAACGAAAGTGCTTTGATCCCATCGAGGTTCCCGGATGTTAATGTTTGGTGGCAGTTCTCCAGACATGGTCCCGAACTGCAAAGGGTCAAAAAGGCAAGTTCGTTCGTGCAAGGTTTATAATGTCACTACATATTTAGAAACTTTAGAGTCACCCTAAATTTTCAAGTAAAGATTTACATACAATCCTATTTATAATTCTGCTATAAATGGCAAAAAGGCCATCGAAATTCACAGCTAACTTTGTCTATAAATCTCAATGGATCTTCACTAAATTTCAATCATTTCCTACATAATTCTCTTTATAAGTACACAGTATTTTAGTATTTGCTTGTTGGATACCTAGAATTACTCTGGAGAAAATAAAGGTATGAAAAGTTTTAGGACGGGTGCAGCGGCTCACACTTGTATTCCCAGCACTTTGGGAGGTGAAGGAAGGAGGAGCCCATGAACCCAGGAGTTTAAGACCAGGCTGGGCAATATAGCAAGACCTCATCTCTACAAAGAAATTTTTTAAAGATTATCCAGGCATGGTGGTATATGCCTATAGTCCCAGCTACTCAGGAGGCTGAGGTGGCAGGGGGGTGTGGGGATCACATGAGCCCAGGAGTTGGAGGCTGTAGTGAGCTATGATCATGCCACTGTACTCCAGCCTGGGTGACAAAGTAAAACCATGTCTCTAAAAAACAGAAAGTTTAAAAATAATAAATGCTAAGCATGGTGGCTCCCGCCTGTAACACCAGCAGTTTGGGAGGCTGAGGTGGGTGGATCATGAGGTCAGGAGATCGAGACCATCCTGGACAACATGGTGAAACCCTGTCTCTACTAAAAATACAAAAATTAGCTGGGTGTGGTGGCATGCGCCTGTAATCCCAGCTACTCAGGAGGCTGAGGCAGGAGAATGGTTTGAACCCAGGAGGTGGAGATTTCAGTGAGCTGAGATCATGCCACTGCACTCCAGCCAGCAACAGAGTGTGACTCCATCTCAAAAAAAAATATATAATATTAGTAATAATAATAAAAACAGTAACAGGATCTGAAGTTTGAACCCATTTTTTTGAGTGAAACAACCAATGTCAAACTACTAAAGTTGTTTAAAGCCCACTAAAATTGTTATTCCTACTGGGAGGAATGAAATGATAAAGAAAAGGTTTACATGCTAAAAATTACACAACTAAAAAAGATGCAAATTCATTTAGCCTTCTTTAGTACATAAACTACTGTCTCTACTAAAGATACAAAAAATTAGCTGGGCGTGGTAGTGGGCACTTGTAATCCCAGCTACTCAGGGGGCTGAGGCAGGAGAATCACCTGAACCCGGGAGGTGGAGATTGCAGTGAGCCGAGATCGCGCCACTGCACTCCAGCCTGGGTGACAGAGCAAGACTCTGCCCCCCACCCCCCCAAAAAAAAAAGAAGAGAGAAGGAATGAGGCAGGAGAGGCAGAGCCAGAGAAATAGACATGGGGACAAGCAGAAGTTGGAGTGATGCTGGGCTGTGAGCTGCAGCCCCTCGCAGGGAAAGGGGCTCTGCCCTAGAGCCTCCAGAAGGAAGGCCCATTTGTTCTAGACTTCTGACCTCCAGAACTCTAAGATAATTCATTTGTGTTGTTTTAAGCTACTTAAATATGTAGGAATTTGTTATAACAGCAATAGGAAATGAATACAACACGTTTCCTCTATTTAAGGATTTCAAGTTGTACTATAGTGGCATAAGAAATATCAGTTGGGTTTGATAATCTGTGTTCTCCTGTTCCCAGAATTAAAAAAAAATAGAAAATACAGACTAACCAGGAATGCCACATTAGCATTCTCACAAAAACAGCTGATCTCAAATCAGATAACATTTTAATTATTAACCATGATCCCATGTTTCAATTAGGTAAGCCTTCTTTCACGCATGAGCTTACTTCCACCATCAAGCACAGGAATAGCTTGCACTCCAAGTAAATTGATCTATTTTAAAAAAACAGGAGTCCCACTTAAAAAAAATCAAACACCAAAACTTATTTCCTATTTCATATTAAAATCAATAGCACTGAGCGTGGTGGCACGTGCCTTTAATCCCAGCTACTTGGGACACAGGTGGAAGGACTGCTCGAAACTTGGAGACTGGAGACCAAACGGGTCAACGTAGTAACCGGTCTCTAAAATCAGTGGGGCCTAGCAAGCGTGCTGACACGGAGCACTCCTTATGCATGGGGCCTGGGCTGAGGAGGGTGTGCCTAGGCACGCCCTGGGCTGGCCCCACTTTGTGCCGGGAGTCTATTCAGGGAGCGAGATGCTGGTATCCCTAGGCCTTGGCTGCTATGTGGGGATCCAGGGCGTGCCTCCCTTCCACCTGCCAGGGTGAGGGCTGACTGGGCCACTTGGTTGGTCCGAAGCATCCCAACGTGCACTGGCTGGCCCTGTGGCAGGGCAAGGCAGAGCTGCACTGAGGGCATCTGCCCTGCACACCTGGTACTGATGGATCAGCAGGACTGGGTCATGAGGCAGTACTGCCAAGGGCACCGTTGTGGGGAGGGAACGAGGTCCTGGGGTGGGGGTGATGGTGCAGGAATAGCCTTGGTTTTCCCGTGTGGTTAATGCAGCCGTCCATCTGGCAAATTAAGGCCCCTGGGCTTGCCCAAGAATTGAAATTGGGCAAAGATCAGACATCTTTTTTGAGAAATGTCTTGAGCACTGCTCACAGTCTTTCATGACCTAAGATAGGGACAGTGCTGGACAGATGCGTCTCAACCCTGGATTTCTGCAGACTGCACTGGAGGAAGTCATGATGTTGCACAGCCTTGTGATGACACCGGGGACAGTGTGAGTAATCATGAAACCAAAGAGGCTTCAGAAAGAAAGTTTTGGAGAACAAGATATCTGTGTTCCCACTGCAGATGCGGCAAGGATAATGAAAAACGTCTCTCAGAGGGACAGACTGCACAGGACGCCAAATGTATTTAAGAGCATGTGGGTGCATCAGTTTCACGGCACCTGAAGCAAGTGAAATGCCAGGGAGAGTGAGAAGACAGTCAGTGGGGAGGATGCTCTCTTTGCCCTGTCTACCTGAGGCTTTGAGAGTTCTGGGGAGTGCTGGGGCGGTGCTTTCAGGCATTTAGAGAGGCCAGGAGACAGGGGAGCAGGCCTCAGCCCACCACAGACACAGAGGGACCCAGGGAAGCTGTGGAAGACGCACTTGCTGAGCTGTTACTAGCTGCGGCTTCAGGACCACAGAAAGGTAGCAGCAAAACGTTATGATTAATGCAGCGGCACACTGGCAGGTTTCTCAGGTCCAGCAAGCTCGGTTTTCATGATCTGAAGAAATGGTAGAATGGGGCACAGAGGGAAGAGAAAGGGGCTAGAACAGACGTACTAGAAGGAAATGATTGGTGACAGGTGGTCTCTGTCTATTTCAATAGCTGTAATGTGGCTTCCTGGTACTTGGCCAGTTGAGGCGTTAATTCTAAGAATCTTTTTCATCAATGGTTTTAAAGAAATATTTGGATTTTAAAGGTATTAAGACCTTTTGGTGGGGTATGAGAAAAAAGTGGGACTTAAAATTCTGTGGTTGGCTGATGCCATTTATGCTAAGAAGAAAAGTGACTTTAAGGTTTTATCACACAAAGACATTCTCACAATGTTGTTGGCTATCTGGAACTGTTAATAATTGTAACATTATACTGCATTTAAACGAACAGATTTTTTACAGATGATATATGTTGAAAAATTAGTTTACCCCTAAAAAGGGACAGAAATAATCGTGTAGAGAAATTAAAAACTGCCTAAATTCAATCTCTTAACTAAGGTTTTGAGTAAATATAGTTTCATGGAATCTCATCCCAATATATTTCTCAAAGTCTTTTTATTTATTCATCCACAAACAAAATTAACTTACACCATCTGTATCCACTGAAGGCCTCTTAGGGACTCAATAATGGCTTGGTCCTGGGTTTGCAAAGACCCAACACACAGCTGTTTTTTTCTGGCTGGTTCCTGTTGATGGATGTCCCCTGCCCTGTGGCATAATCTCCAGAGCATCTACCCTGATAACCAATGGAATAAGAACTGGACCTAAGCAAGTATCATCTAGATTTCAGTCCTGATCGTGTCATTTCCTTTCTAGACATGTGACTGGGTGAATTGCTTTACATCTCTGAGCTTCGATTTTGTCATCTATAAAACAGAGGTAAGAGCTGGCTCATAGAGTTGATAGGATTAGCAAACTGAGGAATATTAGAGGCCTTTATTAAAGTGCCAAACAAAAGTGGGATCACTGTTAACAAGCTGGTTTTCCATGAGTTGAAGTTTTGTCCTCACTGGCCATAGTCCTATGCATAAATACAGCTCCAGGTGCTGGGAATGGCTGCCTGAGCTTCCTGAAGATGATCAGAAACAGATAAGAAAAATAATTTATCTCCAAGATAAATTTTATTTCAAACTTTTAGCTGCATGCTAAGAACATGCTTAACTACCAGAGGAAAAAAATAATTTTCCAAAATTTTGTAGAAAACAAAGCTGGGCGCGGTGGCTCACGCCTGTAATCCCAGCACTTTGGGAGGCTGAGGCGGGTGGATCATGAGGTCAGGAGATCGAGACCATCCTGGCTAACACGGTGAAACCCCGTCTCTACTAAAATACAAAAAACTATCCAGACGTGGTGGCATGTGCCTGTAGTCCCAGCTACTCAGGAGGCTGAGGAAGGGGAATCACTTGAACCTGGGAGGCGGAGGTTGCAGTGAGCCTAGATCGCGCCACTGCATTCCAGTCTGGCGAAAGAGCGAGACTGCCTCAAAAAAAAAAAAAAAAAAAAAAAAAAGAAAAAGAAAAAGAAAAAGAAAACAAGTTAGTAGGGAATGTGCTTTATCAGGAATTACTTACAAAGACCTTTAATCTTGGCTAAAGATGAACAATGATAACTACGTTATTAAGCTAGAAACCTGTTGGTTAAAACTACTGTATTTTGAAAAAGTTATGAAAGGGTCTGATTGCCCAGTTTGTTTAGCTGGGGCCAGGCAGGTATGAGACAGCCTGTCAGACACTGCTGTCACTGTCCAGGGGACATGATGGAGCACCCAGACACTAGGCTTTCCATGCATTGTTAGATTGCTAAATCCTTATGACAGCACTCCAAGATATTTTCCCATTTTATAGAACCACTTGGAGAAATTTAGTACCATGCCCAAGATGACACAGCCTTCACAGTTCTTCTATTTGACTTTGAAACTCAATCCTGAACCCTCAGAGGCCAGAGGAGATGTGTCTGCAAAGGACAATCACACTAACTCAAGGAGCCTAAAAAGCAAATTTCCTGATTTCTGTTTCGGCTGGTCATCTGCACACCTTTCTTATGGGTATGGCCATACAGGAGATCAAATTATAGATCAGAAAGCTGAATTCTGTGCAAAGCATTAGATTCATTCAAAGGGTGTTTCCACTCAGCAATGGATTTGTGTTGCATATGTTTCCCTATTCCAGGAACAGCCCTGCATGGAGACGTGGGGCCTGCCTAGAATCAGGAAGACATGGATAATCAGTGCCTCCTGCCTTTCCCACTGCTATGTCCTTCCCTCCAATGCAGATCCCACTATTTTGTTAACTTTAAAACATCCATGTAACATGTCATATTCCAGTCCTCAAGATCAGCTATGAGTGTGGATTTCTTAAGCAACATCTTAGCTTTGTGCAGTGGCAGTATCGTAGCCCACAAAGTTTATCCGAGGCGCAATTATTGCTAATTGAAAACTGAAGCAGTATCTTAGGTTGGGTGATGTTCTTATCAGTTAAAAAACATTCTATTGATTTCTATGCATGGTGGTATCAGCCTGCAAAAAATGACAAACACTACAAACTAATATTTTAGACACATTCGGATGAAGTTTTACCACCCACTTATTAAGAATCAACTCAGCGATGATATACACCAAAGTCTATAAAACTATCTTACATAGTCCGGGCGCAGTGGCTCAAGCCTGTAATCCCAGCACTTTGGGAGGCCGAGGCGGGTGGATCACTAGGTCGAGAGATCGAGACCATCCTGGTCAACATGGTGAAACCCCGTCTCTACTAAAAATACAAAAAATTGGCTGGGCATGGTGGCGCGTGCCTGTAATCCCAGCTACTCAGGAGGCTGAGGCAGGAGAATTGCCTGAACCCAGGAGGCGGAGGTTGCGATGAGCCGAGATCGCGCCATTGCACTCCAGCCTGGGTAACAAGAGCGAAATTCCATCTCAAAAAACAAAAACAAAAACAAAAACAAAACAAAACAAAAAGAAACAAACAAAAAAAAAAACTATCTTACAAATTAACAGCCGCTAAAGAAAAACTTAGTAACTCTGATTGTGTAATTAAGTGCAGGTTTGATACATTTTCTAACTTAATGATTTTTCACTTTCTGGGCAACAGTCCTTTGTTCTTCCCTTTTTAAAAAATGAATTCACAGGCCGGGCGCGGTGGCTCAAGCCTGTAATCCCAGCACTTTGGGAGGCCGAGGCAGGTGGATCACAAGGTCGAAAGATCGAGACCATCCTGGTCAACATGGTGAAACCCCGTCTCTACTAAAAATACAAAAAAACTAGCTGGGCGTGGTGGCACGTGCCTGTAATCCCAGCTACTCAGGAGGCTGAGGCAGGAGAATTGCCTGAGCCCAGGAGGCGGAGGTTGTAGTGAGCCAAGATCGTGCCATTGCACTCCAGCCTGGGCAACAAGAGCGAAACTCCATCTCAAAAAAAAAAAAAAAAAAAAAAAAATGAATTCACTACATCTGATTTCTTACCTTTAACCACAAAGGAAAAACTGGTCACACTCATGGTTCCACTCTAACCGAATGCAGCTCACCACTGCTACACAACAGGATACAGACACCCAGGCTTCAAGAACAAAGCTGGACGATGGGTCTGCTCTTACAGCCTTTGCTGCCCTGCCTGTCTTCTCAGCTTTCTTTGCAGGAAGTGAGGAGCAGGAAGAGATATTCCCCGCTAGTGGGTACCTTTCTGTATCCATTCTCATGGGATTTCATACAACTTTTACAGAAAATTAAGAACATGCTAAACACGTCACTGATCCTGAATTATGACACCCTTTGCCATATAGGTTCCTCTCTGAAAACTGGAGCGACAGATATCATTGTCCGAACATCCATGTGGTCCGAAAGACTCAATCTAATCTCTGAACACCTACTGAGCTGAGATGGGAGCTGACAGCTCCGCCCTGCCAAACACTGCAGTTTTGAAAGTGAGACACCTGCTCGGTGCTGAGGGGACAAAGGACCTGCTTGAGGTCCCAGAACTTCTTGGGAGCCACCCCATTCACCCTCCCAAACAGTTCCCTGTCATCTTTTATATCAAGTCTGAGGCTATAGGAGCTGCAAAGCCCCCTTATTTACCTGCACACTCCCTGAGCACCTATAACAACGCCTGGAACATTGAAGCAGCTCAGTAAACGGGGAATGGACAAAGAAGAGAGAATCCAGAGGCACCCAACTCAAAATCTAGAAGTCAAGGCAGAAGATGGATTAGGACTGTGATAAATGTACAAGTAAAAAGCTATGAGGGTTCAGAAAAGACTTGCCTATGGAGTAGCTAAGTGCCCAAGCTCTGGAGTCAAGCAGATCTAGGCTTTTTCATTCAGGCAGTCAACAAACATCCATGGAGGGCCTTCCTGGTGCAGGCAATGGTTAGGTGCGGGGGATAGACAGGCTGAGCAAGACAAAATAGGCCCTGTTCACACAAGGGCTAGAAAACAAGTAAACACCTTTAATTTCAACTAGTGACAAAAGACACTAAAGAAAAAGCCCAGAGTTTGTGTTACAAAGGGTGTATGTGGGGATGAGGGTGCAATTTTAGACAGCATAGCCAAGGAGAAGCATCTTTGAGAACGCAGCATTTGTGACTGAGACTTAGATGGCCTTGTACTATGGATGGCCAGCTATGTGACCTTGGGCAGGTTACTCAACCTCTCTGAGCCCCAGTTTCCTCATCTGGATTATAGAGCCAACACCCAATACCTTGCAGGGCTGGAAGAGTATAAAAGTCTATGAACCTAAGCCAGCTGGCACGCACTTAGTAGACTGTTTATTGTCATTCTGGGCAGGTTAGAGGCCTGTGACAGATGTCAAAGCTCAGGAGAAAAGCGTTAAAATGCAAGGTCCCCGTGGGACCAACCACTATTCCAAGAATCGACTTCCTTGCACGTCGCCTCCCTACTGGATTGCGAGTTCTAGGGCAGGGACCAGGTGGCCTCCACTCCGACCTCCAGCACCAGCGGTTAAAATCGAGAGCGCGGAGAGTCGGGCCAGACACTGGGCCACCTGGCCGCCGCTGTCCCCAAGGCAGCCATCTTGGTGTCCCCGTGGCGGGTTCGCCACGCAGCCGCCGGGGACAGCGCGGCTGGGCGCGCATGGGAGGGGCGGAGGGCCCTTCCCACCGGGGACGAGGCCCAGGGATGCTGGGCCTCGGGATGCTGGGAGCGAGGAGCTGTCCGGCGGCAGGACGGCAGGGATCCCCAGGTGCAGGGACCCCCGGCCCGGGAAGGGGCTTCCGACCTCCGAGCCCAGGGTCTCTCGCGGCCGGACCGCGGATGCACGGCCCGAGCCTGCGCGCCTGCGCCAGGCCCCCTGCGCGTTTCGCACCCACCCGGCCGGGCCCGATGCCCGCGACTCACCGCTTCCCCCGGGCCGCCGCCCGCGCCGCTCGCAGGTCCCGCTCAGCGCAGCCTCAGCCGCCACCGGAAGCGCTTCTCCCGCCACGGCGGCCCCGCGCGTCCCCGGTGCGCGTCCTCGCGCCGGCCTGTGAGCGCGCGCCCGGGCCCAGGAGCCACGAGGCCCCGGGACCCGCCCTCCCGGTCCGGGCCCGGCCCCACACCCGCGCCCCCGCTTCTGGGTTCGCGACCGCGCTCTGGCTCCGCCGGGAACCCCAAGCCCAACCTCATGGGGATGTGGGGCTCTGCGCGGGCCAAGGCCACTGCTTTCCATCGGGCTTCTCTTAAGGGACTGCTTCTTTATCATTTCCTTATTCCCCGGGCCTGGCGTAGCCAGCACCCACGCATGCACTCAGTATTTACCCACTTAAAGCGTGGAGCTTGGCAAGACTGGCGCTACAAGGTGATTTTAGGACTTAAGTGCCACGACCTGATTTATGTCTTTAAAAAAAATCACTCGGCTCGTTTATGGAGACCAGGCTGTGTGGATGGTGACGGGCAGGCAGAGAGGCTGAGAGACCGTTTAGCCAGCTGCTGTGGTTATCCGGGAGAGGAATCGTGGTGTTTTGGACCAGGTTGAGAACCTGGGAATATTTAGAGGGCTAATGAAATCTAATAAACGGTAAATTACATAATAAATTACATAGAAAGATTCCACTTTTAAAGATGTAAATTCTCCCCCAAATGACCTGTGACAATTCCAAAAAAAAGATGTTGACGACACTGGTACGCATGGTGGAGTGTGTGTTATAACGGCACAACCGGGCTATAAAATGTCTATGAAAAAATAAAGAGCCGGAAATAGCCAGGCAAGGTTTGAAGAAAAGAGCAAGGCAGAGTGACTTGTCGACAGATAGAAAACTTGTGATAAAACAATGGTAAATAAGAAAGGGGGTGTGTTTGCTCCGGGGTCAGCAAAGAGCCTCATGCAGCCAAGTAGAGTTGCCAGCCGTGTAGAAACCTGCACATGTAGAAACCTGCTGTGAGTTGGCATCACAGGTCAGGAGAGAAAAGTTAGATATTCATTAAACATTACTGGGACAGCCGAATCCCAACCTTGTATAATACAGGAAACTCAACTCCAGGTGGATTAATGATCCAGGTGGGACGAACAAAAATTCTGAAACGTTAGCAATATGTCACAGATATTTTAAGTGATATTTCTTATCCTTCAGATTCCTATGAATGTTTAACTAGCTTTTTCTCTGTATCATACCCTGTGCAAGTGTTGGGCTCAAAAGATATAAAAAAGATCGTCTCTTCTTGGCTGGGCACAGTGGTTCACACCTGCAATCTCAGCACTTTGGGAGGCCGAAGTGGTGTGGATGACCTGAGCTCAGAAGTTTTAAGACCAGACTGGGTGACATGGTGAAACCCCATCTGTACCAGAAATACAAAAAATTAGCTGGGCATGATGGTGTGTGGTCCCAGCTACGCAGGAGGCTGAGGTAGGAGGATTGCTGGAGCCTGGGAGGTGGAGGTTGCAGTGAGCTGAGATGGTGCTACTGCACTCCGACCTAGGTGACAGGGTAAGACCCTATCTTTCTCACATACAAAAGAAAACTAGTAATTATTTTTAAAATTTGCAAAGGAAAAAACCAAAACCAGTTTCTCCAAAGAGCTTATGGGCAAGGAGAGAGACATGTAAATACTTGTTTAAGATAAATTGTAACATCTCAATAGAGAACTTGCAACAATAGTATATGGAATATACTGTATAACTAAGTGCCATGAGAACAAAGAGAAGGGATTTAGTAATTGCCTGCAGAACAGGCATGTGGAAGAAGTTTAGTAGATACAAATGTATCAATTGTCTGATGCCACAGTAATGCTGTATGACAGCCACAAAACATTGGGACTATGCAACAGTAAACATTCATTTTTGTTCCTGAGTCTGTGGGTTGGCTGGGAGGTTCTGCTGACCTGAGCTGGGCTCTGCAGAGCGTGCTCATGTGTCTGTGGTCACCTGTGGGCTGTCAATGGCATTGCTGATCTTGGCAGTGCTCTCTCATATGTGTGCCTGGGGTCTCAGCTAGGATAACTGGGTCAGGATGGCTCTGCTCCATGTCTCATTCCTCCAGCAGGCTGGCCTGGACATGCTCACATGGCAAAGGCAGAGAAAGGAGAGGGTAGATGCACTCAAGGTCTCTTGAGGCCAAGGCTTGAAACTGGCAAACTTTCATTTTCAAGGCATCCTATTGGTCAAAGTGGGTGACAAGGCCAGTCCCTATTCAGGGTGAAATGGACTTTATCTTTTGATGAGAGGAGCTGCCAAGTAACATGGTAAACGGGTGTGGACATACAGACTGGTGGAGAATTGTGGATCTTTTTTCTTCAAAAATTCTGTTACATGTGGTTTTCATCTTTCCAGCATCTCAGTTTCTCTTGGGGAATTCCTCTCCCCAATTTCATTTGATTTTGTCCGATTATCAGTACGGGACTTGATCTCCGCCTGCCTGCCACAGTCACGCGTACATAGCCCAAGCTGGGCCAAGCAGAATTCTGCCCCACATTTATATGAAGGCACTGGGGAAGAGAAGTTGCCTCTCCTCCCCGTCTTCCTTCCCTACCACACACATATATTGGGGCAGCTAAGCTAAGAGAATGTGAATTAAGGGCTGCTAGAGCTGTGGAAGTGAAGCCAGGCCAAAAGATGTAAGAGAGACAGAGATCAGATGATATCATGTCAGTTCCTGGACTCAGCCAAGCCCAAGGCTAGATCTACCTCCCCCTGGGCTGTCAGCTATGGGAGCCAGTAACTCCCACCCACTACCACAACTCTTTTCTTTTCCCTTCCTTTTCTTTCTTCCTTCCTTCCTTTCTTCCTTTCTCTCTCTCTCTCTCTCTCTCTCTCTCTCTCTCTCTCTAAGCCGAGGTTTCACCGTGTTGGTCAGGCTGGTCTTGAACTCCTGACCTCAGGTGATCCGCCCGCCTTGGCCTCCAAAGTGCTTGCATTACAGGTGTGAGCCACCACACCCGGCCTCTTTTTTCTTTTTAAAATCTTAAGCTCTTGTGAGTAGGATTTCCATCCCTGACTAACTGAGTAGAGGAGATGTTCACAGAGGTGGTGACATCCGAGCTAGTGTGACTGAATTTGAAAAAGCGGGAAAAGCAGATGGATGAAGGAAGAAAAGTGAGAGGGAATTAAAAGTAGAAAGCAAGGGCTTATATGATTTCCAATCATTGTTTCAAATAAAGCCCTTTCAGAAACAGCTTCCGTAAAGCTAAAATGTCATTTCTGTTTGATACAGCAAAGGAATGCTTGGGAATTCTTGCTACGCTTGCATCAACAAAAGTTGCAAAACAGTTACATTTTAATATGGACTTTGATCATTCAGGGAACAGCAAAAACTAAACAATCCTTAAATCAGCAAAGACGGGGGGCATTTCTGAGCACAGCAAAAGTTCAGGGAGCTGAGGAAAGAGCTTGCTGAATGTACTACAAGGTGAAGTTTTCATCCGGGCAGGACAGGTGATCCAATGAGACATATTTTTTGTTGGTTTCTTTAAATAAACTCTTCAATGAAAACTTTAAATTCCGGATGATATTAGCCATGCTGTTTTTGATGATAAAAGAAATACATAATCAGATGAATTTGAAAAGTACAGAAAAGTACAAGGGTACATTCAATGCTACTCCCCAGAAATCTCCCTGCTACATTTTTCGTGTATTTCCTTCCGATATTTTCTTTCCTTTTCTGACTCATCAAACTTTGTTCATCTCATGCTTGAGGTTCAGCTCTCTGTATGCACAAGCCCAGAAGCACGCGGTGCAGTGCCTAAGTGTGCAGGCTCTGCAGGTGGGCTCCTCTGGGTTCTGATTCCATCTCTGCCAGGATCAGGCATGAGACCCTACACTTGCTCTTGCTGTGCCTTGGCTTATGTCTGAATGGGGTAAGTCTAACATTTACCTGGGGCGATCACCACCATTACCTGAGATTACATATGTGCAGAGATGAGCACGGTGCCTTGGCAATGGTGAGCTTTGTTCATCGAGAGCCATTTTTTCTTAGAGTTCCAGCTTCATGGCTCCTGCGGCACTTCATAAACTCTCTCTGCATTGTTTTACAGTCCTGTCTTCTCTCTAGACCATGAACTCTTTCAGACAAGAAACTCAGTGTCATTCAACTTTCTATCCCCAGCGTCTAGCAGGACATCCAGCGAATGCAGTTATTTAAATGTGTGGGGAGAATCCTGGTGCATGTATTTTATGTTTTGCTTTCTTCACTCAAAGTTATAGTTTATAAACATGTTCTCAGGTCACATCGTAATCTTCATTATTCATTCTTTCATGCTTTTTATTCACTAAATGCGTATTGAACAGTGACGGATTCTACATGAGTTGCTATCCCAAGTGCTAAGGAGTCTACAGTGAATGGAACACGTGTCACCACTTGCCCTCACGTAGTTGATTGTTTAGGAAATAAAGACAGACAAGAAGCACGATGAATAAGTAGAATATATAGCATGTTAGAATGTAGTAAGTGCTATAAATAAACAAAGAAAGGGGTGTGGAGGGACAGGCACTGGGTCAGGGAAGACTGAGGGGAAGGTGCCCTTTCTTGTTTCATGGACCAGTTGTGTCAGAGTCCACCCGACCTCACGAGGAAAGTCTTTTCGCACTACCCACTCAGGCACATTGGATTCGGTGGGTTTTTTTCTCAAGTCGGAGGAAGACCTGGAGATTCTGGGTCCAGAAACTCAGCAGAATCTTACAGAAGGAAGGGAGAGGAATGCCAGTAATTGAGTGTACATGATGGGCTGGGCATGATGGGCTGGGCAGGCAGCACATATGCCCTAACCACTTGCACAAACATCTTCTCCAGTCTTCACTGGAACCCTGAAGATTTAGCTACTTGTATCAGTCAGGCTTCTCCAGAGAAATGGACCAATAGACCATATATGCATATCTCTATCTCTCTCTCTCTAGTATATCTCCATCAATTGCTCTCGCTCTCTCTCTGTCTGTCTCTCCCTCTCCGTTTATCTGTCTAGAATGATTTAGTTTAAGAAATTGGTTCACATAATTGTGGTGTGTGGCAAGTCTGAAATCTCTAGGGCAGGCCAGCAGGCTGGAAACTCAG